CTCCCTATAAGGCGACAGAGCGTGTGAGGGGTGTGCCGAGATGGGGGTGGAACCGCATGCGAAAACAGCAAGTGGGACCTTCGGTGGTGTTCCCTGTGCGGCCACGAAACGTGCCAAGGGTGTGCCGAGATGAGGTTGGAATCGCATGCAGACGGTGCCATTAGGAACTTCGGTGGAGTTCCCTTGGGCCCTTGGGGGCCGAGAAACGCGTGAGTGCTGTGCCCAAAACGGAAGCGCATGCGACCGCAGCCACAGGGGCCTTCGGTGGAGCTCCCTATTCTATGGGGCCTCGAAACGTGTGAACTGTGTACTGACATGATGCGGAACCGCATGCGGACGCAACCACCGCATGCGAACGTAGCCATTGGATCCTTCGGTGGAGCTCCCTATGGGTCCACGAAACGTGTGAACTGTGTGCCGAAATATTGGCGGAGCCGCATGCGGACGCAGCCACTGAGGACTTCGGTCGGGCTCCCTATGGAGCCACGGAACGTGTGAGGCGTGTGCCAGATGAGGGCGGAACCGCATGCGAACGCAACCACTAGGGCCTTCGGTGGAGCTCCCTAGGGGGCCACGAAACGTGCGAGGGGTGTGCCGAGATGAGGGTGGAACCGCACGCGGACGGTGCCCGTGGGCCCTTTGGTGGAGCTCCCCTGGGGGTCTCGAGGCGTGCGAGGGGTGTGCCGAAACCGGGTGGAACCGCATGCGAACGCAGCCACTGGGGCCTTTGGTGGAGCTCGCTATGGGACCACGCAACGCGTGAGGGGTGTGCTGAAAACGGGTGGAAGCGCATGCGACCGCAGCCAGTGATACCTTCGATGGAGCTCCCCATGGGGCAACGAAACGTGCGAGGGGTGAGCTGGGATCGGTGATGGTAGTGATAGTGATGCTGGTGATGAAGATGATTATGATGATGATGGTGATGATGATGACGATGATGGTTATGCTTATGATGGTGCTGATGCTGATAACCGCATGCCCCCGAGAATAAACCCCAGGGATAATAAAGTTCGGCGGTTACGGGGTGATAATAAGAGTTGCCCGCCAGAGGCCAGCATACAGATGTTAACAGAGGAGCCAAAGCCGAGGATATCTTGAGACATCCTTAGCTTTTGTTCCTCTCTGAAACATCCTGAAGGAACGTGTCGGCTTTTAATATTTTTACAGTACAGAACTGAAGCTCGGAGGTGCACGCGCGCGCCTCTGAGCTTCACTTCTATATTATTCACAATTAATGAATCGACATTTAATTCCAAAAACGAAATTGAAACATTATGGAGCCCTGTAAGGAGGCTGAAGGAACGTGTCGGCTTTTAATATGCTTTATAATACGGAACTGAAGCTCGGAGTTTCTATACATATTCCTCATGTGCCTCGTTTTCCCAGGATAATCAACCACAGCGATAAACAAGTTCAGGGGGGCAGGGGGAGAAGAAGAAAGATAGAGAGATGCATAGAAATATAGAAAGAGAAGAGGAGGTAGAGGAGGAAGAGGAGGAAGAGGAGGAGAAAGAGCAAGAGGAGGAGAGGAGAAGGAGATAGCAAAATCCAAAGTTTAAAACTTAGTAGATTTAATATGTAAACGCTTAATGAAAACAAAAATTTGCATCTGCTCGTGTAGGGTAGCTCACGTGCTTCGTTTTCCCAGGATAATCAACCCCAGCGATAAACAAGTTCAGGGCGCAAGAGGGAGGAGGAGGAGAAAGAGATAGAGAGACAGAGAGAGAGAGAGACAGAGAAAGAAAGAAAGACAGAAAGAACTACAAAGAGACAGAAGGACATTAGTTTCGCTTGAGACATCCTGAAAAAACGTGTTCGTTTCGCTTGGTGTTGTTATTTCAACATAGGAAGGAAGTAACCTCGATGGCGATCTTTTCCCCGTGATAATGAAGTTCGGCCTCCGCACCCCGCGCCCCCGACCAAACTCGTATTGGCCGTGGATAATCAACTCTTATGTGTATAGGGGGGTACACTATTATCGTGGGTATGGGGTTAATGATGGTGATGATGGCGATGGTGATGATGATGCTGATGCTGATGCTGATGGTGACGGTGGTGGAGGTGGTGGTGATGATGATGAGGAGGATAATGGTGGTGATGGTGATGATGATGCTGCTGGTGATGATGATAATGGCGATGACGATGATGATCCTGATGATGCTGATGATGACGACGGCGACGTCATGACGACGATAACGACGAGGGCAGAAGCAAGGAGGGGGAGGTGGGAGGAGGGGCAGGAGGAGGAGAGGAGAGGAGAGAGGAGACGCGGGGCGCTGTCTATTCAAAGCGAGGTCTCAACACCACAGGATGGTTGGGAACAAAAGCAACAGATCGTTTGCAATCGCCCCTCAGGACACCGACACAGACGGCGGCGGTTTCGCCGCGTCCCACTTTAGTTCTGTCGATCGGGCACACATGCTGCGGCCACATCACGTCATGCGCAAGCATGCAAGCAGCAGCAGAAGCAGGAGCAGGAGGGGACGAGGAAGGGCGGAGGGGGGGGAAGGACCAAGACGGACCCGCAACCCGTCGAAACGCTGACGCGACATCGGCAAAACCAAGCACGGGCCAAAAACGTAAAATAAAACGCAACTTAGCCTGGCGAAGGACCAAGCCATATACGATTGTGGGTGCCACAGTTGTGAATATCGCCCTCTGTGAACCGCATGCGAACTTTGCCACTGGGGCCGTGCCAAAATGGGAAGGGAACCGCATGCGATCTTTGCCACTGGGGCCTTCGGTGGAGCTCCCTATGGGGCCACGAACCGTGTGAGGGGTGTGCCAAAATGGAAAGGGAACCGCATGCGAACTTTGCCACTGGGGCCTTCAGTGGAACCCCCTGTGGGGCCACGAACCGTGTGGGGTGTGCCAACATGGGGGTGGAACCGCATGCAAACTTTGCCAATGGAGCCTTCAATGGAGCCCCCTGCGGGACCACGAACCGTGTGAGGGGTGTGCCAACATGGGGGTGGAACCGCATGCAAACTTTGCCACTGGGGCCTTCAGTGGAGCTCCCTAAGGGGCCACGAACCGTGTGAGGGGTGTGCCGAGATGGAAGTGGAACCGCATGCAAACTTTGTCACTGGGGCCTTCAGTGGAGCTCCCTGTGGGGCCACGAACCGTGTGAGGGGTGTGCCGGAATGGGGGTGGAACCGCATGCGAACTTTGACACTGGGGCCTTCAGTGGAGCTCCCTGTGGGGCCACGAACCGTGTGAGGGGTGTTCCGCAATGGTTGACATGCGGAGGGCAGAGGCACAGAGGCGGAGGAGGAGGGGGAGGAGGAGGAGGAGGAGAGGTGGGACGCGGGGCGCTGTCTCTTCACAACGAGGACCCAACACCATAGGATGGTTGGGGAAAAATCCTCTTGGAGCCAGAACCATCTGGAATCCGCAGATTTTCCTCTCGAGACCCTTCCGCGGGCCCTCTTGGACAAGTTCGCGCGGTCCTTGGTCCCTTCTGGACGCCTTGTCGCCGTCTAGGAACCTCTTTGGCCACGTTGGCTCGTCTTAGCGGCCTCTTGGCGCCCTCTGAGGCCGTCCTGAAGGCCCTGGGGGCCTGGAAATTCGCTCGGCACGCTGAAAAGGAAAAGGGCCCGCCGGCCCCAGGGACAAAAGTTGGCTGCGGAGGGCTGGGGGAGCTCTGATAAGCGGGGCCCCCCCAAGCCGGGGGACCCCGTCGCTGGTTTCATACAGATGTATACGCCATGAAAACAGCTCTCCTCTCTCCCCTGACTCTGTCCGGAAGATGGCCCGCCCTCTCCGCGCTTTGAGTTTTCTTTCGCACGCACACAGGATGTCAAACATGTGTTTTCGCGCATGATGTCCCAACCCATCGTGTCCGGTCCTTCAAAACGGTGCTCCCGCCGCAAAGTTGGCCTCATTTCCAGGCGTTCGGTCTTTCGAAATCGTGTTCCCGCTGCTGACCTGGTGTCATTTCAAGGTTTTCGTTCCTTCCGAAAGGTGCGCCCACTGCAGGACTTGCCTCATGTCTGCGTTTGTGGCCAACTATAAGAGCGGGGCCCAATGCACCGTACCACGTTCGGATTCCCTTCGGGCGCCGCTCCGACGCAGTACCGTGTATAGTTCTTCGGCACTGAAGCAGAGAAACTAGGCACCGTACCATTCTTGGGTCGAGGATTGAAGACGCCTTGGGAGAGAGGCCAACTCGGAACGGTGCATACAAGTCGTCCGCGGACAAAATGCGGATCCCGCTGCAGCACTGGCCTTATATCCATACTGTCAGTCCTCCAGCATGGTCTTTTGGGCGGAACCGCTCACGCCGCCATGTGATACGATTCGATACTCTGCGGCGTGCTGCTAGTATGCGATACCATGCCTTGCTCTGCAATGCGCCCTGCAATACTGGGCTACGTACACAGCAAGGCAATATCACGCTATAATGTCCCGTGCCATGCCATGCCATGCAAGGCTATATAATGTACCGCTAAGCGATGCCATGGCATTGCGCAGGGATCCGCAATGCTTGGCTAGGCAATGCCATACCATGTTATGCCAGACCACGCTCTGCCGTGTTCTCATGAGTCATGCTATGCCATGCTATACCGTGCTATGCCCGTTGGGGATCGTTGTCCTCTTCGACATCCGACTGCACGAACAGAGAGGGGACCTGCACAATGTTCAGGAATGGGAGGAAGGGGTAGGATGTCAGAGATGACGCGAGTGCACCTTGCTTGATCTCCCCCTCCCCCTTCACACTCAACCTTCCCCTCCTCCTCCTCCTCCCCCGCCCGTCCTCCGCCCAAATCCTCTCCCCTCATCCTCGTCACGGTGTCAGGGCTCATCTTTCGAGCAGACGCTCCACAAACATGAACAACAGGAGGCAGTCAGATTCAACACCCTCCTTCACATTATCCCCCATGGATTGCTCCACTTCTCCCGATCAAGTCTTCGCCTTGCACAGTTTCTGCCGGACAGTCTGCTTCCCCTTCAGGAACACCTCTGGCAACACCTGGATTTCCCACTCCCCCCCTGGCCACCAAAACGACATTGATCGAAGGGATGTGGATGCGAGCTTGCCTGGGAGGATCTTCATCCCCGGATCCTGCACGTGTCGGGCGCGGCACGAGCACGAGCTGGGGGCATGGAAGGCCAGGGGAAGACGGAAGTGAGAAGCAGGAGGACGACAAAATCTATACCTGTCCACTGCTCCCTGGCCAGGCCCGTCCTGAACCCGGTGCGCGCCACAGGCTCTCATGGCGTGGCCGGGAGGGCGTGTACACAGCTCTCCTGGGACCAGGGAGGGCCTGGCCAGGGGGCAGTGTATGTGTCCACGCCTGTCGGAAGAAGTATGGGACGCAGGGGGACATACCAATACTACCGAACAAATAGTACACCCATCTTGTAGTGTATCGTTTCCCCAGCGGTGTGGCCAGGAAGTGCCCGCCAAGACGCATATACTACATAAGATTGTTCGGTGCGGGCGTCGCCCCTGGGGGGACGAACCACATACAGTATCAGCACGTTGGGGCGAGGCCGAAAGTAGATAAAGACATGAGGTAAGGAATCAGGTAAAGTAGACTGGGTTCAGGCCCTCCCAGAGAATAACCAGACACGACGGAAACAGATCGATTCTTGAAGTAGGAAGGCGCTTGAAGTGGAGTGGGGTCTGGGAATCCAGAGGGACCTACTTTCAACGACAGGCGTGTATAGCCTAGCTCTCGTCGTCCGACCAGGAGGACGGGGAGGATCTTCGGCGGGGGCGACATCAGCGGAGATTCGCCGTTTATGATATCCTGTAACGGTAACGCTTGGAGGATGCGAGGCACGTCAGGGTGGGGGGCGCCTTGATCGCTATAGTCTGCGCGCGAGCAGCAGCATGTTCTGGGGGGCCCACCCCCACCCGCCCCCCTACGTACGACCGTTACCTTTACCAGGAGGGGGGGCGTGGCGCGATCAACGACCATTACGCGCCAGAGGATAACAAAAACACAATATCGCAAGGAGTGGAGGCGAGAGCGAGAACGAGGATTGTCAGAAAGATTCATCCCGTTTTGGTGCAATCGGAAAGGGCTCGGACGGGGCTAGGACGAGAATAAATCCGTTCCAGAGTGTTCCGGAACGCTCTCAAGAGCTGGTGATGCGGCCACAAGTCGGGGAGACGTAAGACTCGGATTGATGGGACGCGGGTTGGCTTGACGGGGCCATGACGCGACCCCAGTCTGAAACTTGACGCGAGCTCCCGCCGCAGACATCCTACGAAATTGGACCGTCAAATCCAGGACGCATTCGGCAAAAGGCGTCGGCAACCCCAAGTTCTGGCGCACTCGAGTCTGACGTTTCCCCGAACAAGGCGAAAGACATAAAAAGGGGCCAGATGCTGCCTCCTCGCCGTCTTCTTCGCCCTGGTCGCCCTCCTCCTGGGGGGTCGAAGACGGACCCCTCGGTGATAGGGCCCCAGGGATAGCAAAGAGCTTTCAGGCTGCGTTTGCGCTGTTCCAGGATTACCCGCCCTGGGGGCCCCACGCGTAAGGGCCCCATATTCGCAGAGCCGATCCCCATCCTCCTCCTCGTCCGTTTCCTCCTCTTTTCTAAGCCGCCTACATGGGGTCGGAGTACATGGGCTCAATGGATCGCGCAACATCCCCGCTGCATCGCCGACGCATCGCCGCTGCATCGCCGATGTGGCCCGATATGGAACCCGATTTGCTTTTTGTCGACGTCACCGATGCGTCGCCGACATCGCCAATGCATCGCCGGTGCATCGCCGATCCCCGCCCTCCTCCTGCTGCTGCTGCTGCTGCTGCTGCTGATGGCTGACGCGAGTCTCCCTACAGCCACCTCTCCAGCTCCCCCTCGCCACGGCTGGGCGGGGGCAGGGGCTCATTCGGGGAAAAAAGGGAAAGGAAAGGGTGGAGAAAAGCCTCCCGATAAGGGAGAAGGTCGTCCTCGTCCTCCTCCTCTCCCTCCTCCCCGTCCTCCTCCTCCTCGTCCTCACCATCATCCTCACGGCCCACGCCAGACGGCCTGGCCAGCCGGGCCAGGGCCACTGCCTCCTCTCGCAGGAGCGGGGGAGGTGGAGGAGCCCATCTGTGGCGGTCGGCCTCCTTGGCCTCCACGTCTTCTGTTCGCTTTAATCAGGCCATCCTCGTCCTCATCCTCATCCTCATCACCATCATCATCAACAACAACGATCGAGTGCCCAATAACTGCTCGAGTGCCCAATAACTGCTCGAGTGTCCACTGTCGAGGAGAAGTAAAGGAGGAGGACTAGAAAGAGAACTAGGAGGAGGAGCAGGGAGAGGAGGAGGAGGAGGAGGAGGAGGAGGAGGAGGAGGAGGAGGAGCAGCAGACTGCACCGAACGCGGACGCAGCGGAGACGGGCGCTGCACAGCGGCAGCGGCGCGTCCCCTGCGCGCTCCTCGCCGCAGGTCCTCCGGCGCCTTCTCCTTTGGCCTGGCGGTCTCGGCCCTGGACCTGGTGGACTTGCCGGGCCTGGTTTTGGCGGGGACGGGCGCAGAGGTCTGCTCGGAGGCGGGGGACTTGTAGTTGATGAAGTCCCGCACATCCTGGCGACGCCCGGGCGGGCCACTGCTTGGAGATCGGGAGAAGGAGAGAACGAGAGAGGGAGAGAGTTGAACTCGCCATCGCTCGGACGTCCACTCCTCGTGCCTTTGTCAGTTTCGTGCGTGCATGCTTGTTTTTCTTGTTGCCAGATGGTCCAGGATGCTCCTCGATGGCCCTCGCCGAGAGCAAATGCACAATTCCGAGCGATGCCAAATGAAAGAAAGAGAGTTGAGTCGGCCATGTCCCCCCACGGGCGGACTTCGGAGGACAAGAGTTGTCAACAAATGGCCAACAGTGGCCAAAACTGGTCGAAACATCGTCCACCTTCTTTATCTTAGACTGTTTTGGGATCCTCCTCCAGAAGAGGGACATGCCCGACTTCAAGAGAGGGAGAGAGAGAGAGAGGGATAGCCGGCAGGGGAAGCGAGGAGGAGGAGCAGCACAGGGCGCCAGCTCCAGGCCAGGCCCAGCCACGGGCCGGCCACGCGCGCACGGCGCGCGCGGCGCACGCGCCCCCCCCCCCGCGGGGCCTGGGGGTGGCTGCTTCGGGATCGGTGCGGCCGGGCTCGGCCCGAACGGTGCGTGTCTTCCGTTCCCGCGCTGCTGCCTCGTGCTGCCTTCGCTCCGCCCCTGCTGCTGCAAGACGAGATCGGAGCGAAGACGGCCCACGGGATCGCCAGGGCGCCGTGCAGGTCGAGGGCCCCGCAGTGTGGAGCCACAGCTGGCGTCCGCCGAGGCGGGCGTCGAGTGGCCAGGGAGGACGGCGGGGCATGGCGGAAGGGGCTGTTGCATCAATCACTGATCGGGTCATTTCCCTTCAGAGCCATTCCGATGCAATAGCATGCCTCTGGACGGACGCTACTTGCGCCGCAGGGTCTCTGCGCTGGCCTCGGTCGCCAAGGCTTGATTACCGCTGCCTTACTCGCAGCGGGGCGCAAGCCTCGTGAGGCCCTGGGGTTTAACATGACCGCCTTTCGCTCGTCCCTCTTCCCTCCTTGGCATCCCACGCCATCCGTCCCACCTTTCCCCTCCTTAACCCTCCGCCCGCATACTCACGCGAGATGCTGCGCGCGTTGCACACGAAAGCAAGCAGAGCTTGCTAGCGCAGTCCCACGAGAACCCTAGAGGCATTAGCATTCACTCACTCCCCCCGCCGCTTCAGCCAGTGTTATCCTGTGGCGCCTCCTCGTGGAACCAAGCGTAGAACATCTGGGGTGCTCGAGACTGCGAAGCAGAACTGGCAAAACCATCAATGACACCATCAAGTACCAAAACACGCCTGGAACGACTCTCAACCGACAGAGGCCACAACGTCTGGAAGGTCGACGGAGCTGCTGCAAAGTGCGCACGCCTCCCACGATGATGTCACAATGATATGTACATGTGTATATATGACGTATTTGAAGGCAGCGCATGAAGATTCGACGGCACAACTTCACAACGGGGAGCCTGTACGAGCTTCCCGTCTCCTCAGCCTCTTCCTCCTCCCCCTCAACAACACATCATCAGCATCATATTCAGCACCAGCATCAGCATCAGCATCAGCATCAGCATCAGCATCAGCATCAGCAGCATCATCAGCAGCATCATCATCATCATCATCATCAGCATCAGCATCAGCATCAGCATCAGCATCAGCATCAGCATCAGCATCAGCATCCGCAACATCATCAGCAGCATCATAATAATCATCATAATCAGCATCATCATCAGCAGCATCATCAGTATCATCATCAGCAGCATCATCAGCATCATCACCAGCAGCATCAGCATCACCATCAGCAGTATAATCGTCAGCAGCATCATGATCCATCAGCATGATCAGTAGCATCATCGGCATCAACATCATCATCGTCATCAGCATCATCCTCATCATCATCTCATCCACCCCTTGACACCGCTTTCCTACATCATCCTACCTCATGTTCCACCCGCTCCTCCCTCCTCCTCCTCGCTTATCGCCCCCCGCACTGACTCCCCCGCCACTGGCGCACTGAGCGCGCCAAGAACGGCGCCAGAGGCGCCGCCAGGGAAGGTCCAGCGCCGACCAGAGACCGGCACGGTAGACCCAAGAGCGTGTATGTATGTGCCCCTTTTTCTGTGCCGGTGCCTGGGCGACCAAGCCTTCAAAAACCGTACTCGCGAACACGTGCGCCGGCCAACAGGCCGATGCTGATACAGACAGGCGAAGCCAAAGACGCGCCCCAGAGGACACCTATGAAGGCGAAGAACACAGGACCAGAGGAGGACCAGAGGAGGAGGAGGAGGAGGAGGAGGAGGAGGAGGACCAGTGCAAACCCAAGACTCATCAACGATGCTGCAATAAAACCTGCATCCAAATTCCCTCATCATAGGCCCCTACGATGACGAATTATCACTCAAGAAAGGGCCCCTGTTGGAAGACAACCTTTTGATTGGAAAGCCGCCAATCCAGCGTGTGAGTTTCAAAGAACCTGAGCTACAGCCTACTACAGCCTGAGCTTCAGCTCTGCTGGGGGGGGGCCCGGGGGGCTCTGCCGGAGAAAGGGGGAGGTGCGCCTGTGCTCCGTTTTCTGGGCGGGGCCGGGACATGCAAAAATCCCCCAAATTCCCACCCTGGGGGCCAGAGAGCCCAAGATGGCCGCCAGACATATTCCTAGATGGCTCATGATGCACCCAAGATAGCATAGCCTAGGATGCCCTCCAAAAAAGGCCCGAAGAGGCCCAAATTAATTAATTTTCGACCTGCTTTTGAAAGATTTGGGTGCTTGATTCTTTTCGGCCTTCCGACGGCCCCAGAGGCCCTCCAGATCGCCCCACAGGCCTCCAAGATGGACCTATGTCACCCCAAGAGGCTCCTAACACGGCCCCAGGAGGGTCCCAAGACGGCCCCATAGGCTCCAAGACGGCCAAGATAGCCTCCGAGGCGGCCCTGAATCGACCCCAGAAAGCTCCCAGACGGCCCAGCGAGGCGCCCAAGACGACTTCCGACAGCGTCCGACGGACCAGGAACGCCCTAAAACAGCCAAAGAGGCTTCCAAGAAGTCCCCAAGAGGATCAAAGACCCCCCTCAAGAGGCCTCCTCTCCCACGACGGCCCCAAGAGAGCCCCCAGACAGCCCCATGGCCCTCCAAGCGAACCCGAGTACCATCGGGAGCGCCCCGGATCGGCGGCACTGGCCGGAGGCCATTACAATCCGGAACCGTGCCAGAAGAGCTTTGTACTTCAACGCCACGAGTCATCCTTCCTGCTGCGTTTTGGCGATCCTGAATCGTGCCTGAACACCATTCCTGGGACTTCAGCACCGCGAATCAATGTATGTGGGACCCCGACAATTCTACATCGTGCCAGAACACCATTTCTGGAGCGTTAGCCATCATACTCCTTGGACATGTTTTTATATGTTGCAACGACTGTGCTCAGCGCCAAGGCGAAGACCACATTTTGAAAACCACCCGTGCTCCGTTCGCGAAACTCTTGCATTTGTTATAACACATGTGCGCGCCAAAAGGCGAGAACTCCATGTTGACAACGGCAAGCCCTCGATACGTGAAATCCTTGCATGTGTTTAAAACGACTGTGCGCAGCGCTAGAGCGAGAACCACATTTTGAAAGCGGCCCGCCCTGGATCCATGCAACCCTTGAAGATGCTGCAAAAGAATGTGCGCGGCGCTGGAGCGAAAATCACACCCTGACAGCAGCCTGCACTCGATCCGTGAAACACAAAACGAATGCTCTCGGCGCTACGGCGAGAGCCACATCTTGAAAACCACCCGCCCTTCGTCCGCGAAACTGTTGCCATGTTTCAACCGACTGTGCGCGGCGCTAAGGCGAGAGCCGCATTTGGGAGAGGCACGCCCTTTACCTGTGACACTATCGCAATGTCTACAGTCGGACCTAGGCAAGAAGAACATCCCTCAAGAACATGAGACTCTTCTGGCCAAAACAAACAGAACATCCAGCGGTACCCTCCCCGGGATGCACAAGAGCATCCACCAAACACGAAGAACACTAGGGTACTCTCCCCGAACCGGCTTCGATCTCATACCTCGATCCGACTGTAAGCGTGAGGATCAGAGATGGTGAGGAAGTCTGAGGCGGAACGCCTGGCCCGCCCTACGGACCGATCTCGGGGTGCGACAGAGAGGAGTCATCTATGAGGAAGAGGGTTGGAGGAAAAGAGTAACCAATCATCTCGAGGATAAAGGAGGATGGAAGAGGATAGAGGATGGAGGAATACAGAGGATAGAGGAAGGAGGAGCCACGTAAACGTAAACTCTCGACGGACCGCGCGCATTTCTTGAATCGGCGCTGGACCCCCCACCCCTGCGCGAGGAGCGAGCCGGTGGCGGCGCCAGAGGCGCGCGCCATGGGAGGTCCAGCGCAGATCCACGAGGTCCGCACGGACCGTCGAACGTTTACGATGCAGCGGAGGCCAGTTCAAAAGAAGCCTTCCACAAGAAACCCAACCCTGAGACCCCAGGGCGTCCATTGATTCTCGGCGTGGGAGATGTCACGCTTTCCATCGCAAAGCCATCGAAACCCAGGAAACCCAGGGCACCCTGGAGGCAAGCAGGGCGTGTCTTCGCATTGGGGCCTCCACTGTGCAGCTGTTTCTCCGAGGGGAAGCACTCCGTGGCGTTTCCACTGCCGTGGCAAGGCCCTTCCCCGCCCCCAGGCCCGGGCCGCGGGTCCTGGCCCGTGACCTCCTCCAGGACCAGGCGCTTGGCCTGGGGCGCGCGGCTGGGCGGAGAGGGGCGCGGCGAGGCGGAGGAGGGGGGGCGACGCCCTGGGACTGACGCCCTGGGACCGACGCCCTGGGACCACCGCGGGCAGTGGCTGCGAACATACAGGGATCGGCCTGAACGGTGGAGTTGTTCGCTGTCGTCCTGTGGTCGTTGTCCCTCGTTGCGTGGTCCCAGGGGGCTCGAAGATGTCCAGATCCAACGCCAGCCGACGTCCCCGAAGATCGATCACCCAAGGCGGGTGGTGATGGGTCAGCCCCCGCCTCGGAGAGGGGGGGGAGGAGGAACGAAGGGGGACAGACTGGAGACGATGGGCGGCGCGTCGAAGGGGGGGGGGATGTCGAGGGGGGGGCAGGCCCAGGGGAACGCCGGGGGGGAATGTCGAGGGGAATGTCGAGCAACGAAGGGAACAGAATGGAGACGATCGGCGGCGCGTCGGGGGGGGCGGGGGGAAGTTCATGGGGGGGGCAGGCCTTCTCGGCAGGCGGCGGGGCGTCTCGGCAGCCCTCCGGCCTCCTCGGGAGCCCGCCGCGGCTGCGCGGGAGGCCCAGGCAGCTCTCCCGAGGAGGCCAGAGGGCCCTCGGAGGGAGGCCCGCACCCGTCTGCCTTCACCCCCGGGCGGGGCCAACGAAACGAGGGGGGAAGGACAGGATGCAGGAGAGGGGGGAGAGAAAGGAGAGAAAGGAGCGGGGGGGGGAGGGGGAAGCGGGAGGGGGAGGCGGCACAAGGGGGCAAAAGGAAGGGGGGAGGGGAGAGGGAGGGGGGGAGGGGGGGGGACGGAGGGAGAGCTGAGAAGAAGAGAGGAGGAGGAGACGGAGGAAGAGGAGGAGAAGGGAAGAGGCACGAGGGAGAGAGGGAAGGAAAAGAAGAAGAGGGAGAAGAACACAAAAGAGGACAATCTAACGACGTAAAAGAAGACAAGGGAAGGGAGCAGGGAGACACGTGGGACGAAAACGATGACAAGGACAAATATGAGGGCCTCGATTAGACGCGGCCGAGGCAGTGTTCACGAAGCACCCCACACTCCCTCCTCCTCCTCCTCCTCCTCCTCCTCCTCCTCCTCCTCCTCCCTCCTCCTCCTCCTCCTCCTCCTCCTCCCTCCTCCTCCTCCTCCTCCTCCTCCTCCTCCATTAGTTCCCTTTATACCTAACTTCTCACTGTCGCACACCGAGGACAGTTTTTAGGGCGGGCCGGGCGTTTCGCCTGAGACTTCCTCACCACTTCTGACTCTGAAACTTTCGAATTGGCAACAGCTTCACGGATGGAGGGCGGGTGGTTTCCAAAATGCAGCTCTCGCTTTAGCGCGGCGCATCTTCGTTTTAGGAATTTGCAAGAGTTTCACGAATTGAGGGCGGGTCGTTTTCAAAATGTGGCTCTCGCCTTAGCGCCGCGCACATTCGTTTTAAACATTTGCAAGAGCTTCACGAATTGAGGGCGGCTCCTTTTCAAACGGTGGCTCTCGCATTAGCGCCGCGCATATTCGTTTACAACATTTGCATGAATTTCACCGACTCCCATCACCAACGCACCAGAACTTGTATTCTGAAAGGATTCAGGCTCATTCGGGCGCAATAAGTACGTTGAGTCGCTGCGTTGGCGTCCCAGGAATAGGGTTCTGGCACGATTCAGGGTCGTCAACACGCACAGGCCAGGTTGATCCGTGGCGCTGGAATCCCGAGGATGATGTTTTGGCATGCTTCAGGGTCTTCAAACGGTTGTCTTCCAACTTGACAGTTCCCCCAATGGAAATGAACCGTTGTAGGGGCCTGTGAAGAGGGAGCTCGGAGGGAGGGTTTATTCCAACATCGTTGGTGGCTCTTGGGTTTACACCGATATTCCTCCTCCTCCTCCTCCTGCTCCTCCTCCTCTTTTTCCTCCTCTTCCTCATCCTCCTCCTCCTCCTCCTCTTCCTCCTCTTCCGCCTCTCCGCTTTCACTCCTTCACTGGAGGCCGCCCCTTTGAGGCCAGCATATGTGGGATGGGTTGATGCGTCGGCGAGACGTGATGGACGTCGATGCGTCGCACCGCATCGCCGATGCATCGGCGATGCGTCGTCGACGTCGCGACGCAAAAGGGAAAAAAGGGGCAATGGATCGTGGAGCATGGCCGATGCCTCGGCGATCCAAACTCTATACTCCAGCCCACTTTGCTGGCTTGCGACAAAGGCGCCCTGGTGGAAACCGGTCCTGGACCTCCAGGCACTCCCCGGGATCACCGTCTCGATCTGGAGTCGTCCCTTGCCGGTCCTGGGGCCCAGAGGCTCCGGGATTCCGGAGACAGCGAACCAGACTCCGGGGCCTGCGTGCGAGGCCAGAAGTGACAAACATCCACCGCCCAGGGAATCGTTAGCCCAGGACCCCAGGGGGAATGAACACACACACACACACACATAGAGAGAGAGAGAAAGATAAAGAAAGAAAGAAAGGAAGAACAAGCGAGAGAGAGAGAGAGAGATGGACCCCAGGAGGCCCAGGCCTCACTGTACCGCGGACCAGAACCCAGGGTCCCAAGGGCGCGGCTACGTGCAAATCCCAGCCTCCCAAGTCAGGCCCGAACTGGGTCGAATCGCGAAATCAGATCGAATCGGAAACGGATCGGATCGCCAGCGAGTCGCTCCGAGCCGAATCGGAACTACCATGAAGAACGCTGCATAACGAACGAAGGTGTTTTATCTATCCACGGCGAGCCTCGGCTTCCAATGAATTCCCCGAGCTAGGTATCAGCAAGGAGCCCGAAAACCAGAGCCCCTCCTGAGCCCAGAGTGGTCCTTGCTTCTCCAGATTGCCCGTAGTCGGGAAACCCATAATGACGCAAACATGCAATTCGGGGGAACCCCGCGCGGATTTCTTGGATCGTCGCTGGACCCCCACTGGCGGCGCCTCCGGCGCCGCCCCTGGTACGTTCCGCGCGCCAGGGACGGGGTCCAGCGCAAGCCCAAAAAATCCGCGAAGGCCTGAAAGTTTGTCTTTATGTCCTTCTGCGCCCCCAGATTGCAATCCAGATGCCGCTTTGGGCTCAGGGGGGGCTCTGGTCCGGGTCGCTCCTGATGCTTGGCTCGGGGAGGCGTTTTCTTAATGATTGGCGCATCCCCAAGATGTTTCGGGGGGTCCTATGGACCCCCCTCAGATCTAGCCGCTACCGCCCCCAGGACCCTCCCCACGGACCCCCCCCCCTCCCAGGGACCGCTCCAGGCACCCTCCCCGAGGAGAAGAAGAAAGAGGACCGGACGAATCGAGGAGGGAGGAGGCCACAGAGCCGCGAAGGCCACCGAATCCGGAGCCCCCCGGATCGGCGGCACTGGCCGGAGGCCATTGCAAGAAGGGCCACTTTGGGCTTAGGGGGGGGCTCTGGTCTTCGGGTCGCTCCTGAGGCCTGGCTCGGGGAACTCATTCGGAGCAGAGTCTCCAAAGTGGCCCTGGGGCACACAAATGAGTACGCACAAATAACAGGATTCCCCATATGTTCGCATATTTTCTGGGTTTTTGTCTTCCCCCCCACTTCCCAAATTTTCCCATCTTTTCTGGGGAATCGACCATTAATTGTGTCTGTGTGTTTTTTCCCCTCCTGAAGTCTCGCCGTGGCCAGAGAAGCCCCTTCGCTACTCCTGCCGCAGCCTTCGTGGCCGCACGCCGACAGCACGATCCGACTCCAGACAAGCGCGCTCCGCTGCTCGCAAAGCACCTGCCCGCAAATGGCCAGGATCGGCCGCGGGGGATGCACGATCCACTACGTCGAGGCAAGCATGTGCTTTTCGGACGTTTGCGAGTAGCCACTCTGCGAGTAATATCTAAAAACGGTTTAAAAAAGTCGATTTGGGGGGACAGTAAAAAAAGTTCGTCCCAGCGCTGTCGTGCGCAGGAAGAAGACAAGAGGAAGAGGACCGCCGGAGACGTCCCCGCGACCGTCGCTCCGCATGCGGAATCCTGCGCACCCTCCTCTTCGCGTCAGGCCACCCATGCCACACCCTGCGGCGAATTTGGCATGGATAGAGAACGTGCTCGGTGATGCTCGATGCGACGCGATGCGTTCGGACCTCTGAAAGGTTGTGTCTGGCGATTCGGAGGTTTGCGAGTAGGCTGTCTGCGAGTAGTGGCAGGCCCAGAAGATGACACCAACACCAAAATCGGCGGTGTGCCTCCACCGAATAGAGATGATCCCGATCTCGGTGATGGTGGTAACATTCAAGCTTCCTAGGCGGCCGAAACATTGCCACCAATACCGAAATCCATGATCATCCTCCCCCTGGTGGGCGCATCCCCCCTGCTTTGGTGTTGGTGCCCATTTCGAAGCCTCCAAAGAAATGGAACGCGCTCGGTGAGGCTCGATGCGATGCTGGGGAACCCGAAAGGTACCGACACCGCTACTCCCTGGACCTCTCCTGGGGTGCGTTCTGACCAGGATTTCGAGGCGAATCCAGCGGTGGCGACGACGGAAGCCCAGGAGGCCCAAAACGGCGAAAACGAAGGGGGGAGGGTAGAGGTATGGGTACATTCTCCTCCTCTGAGATGCGATGCGTTCGGACATCCGAAAGGTTAAGGCTGGGCCGATTCGGCTCGGTGATGCGCGGCGCGGGGCCCCCCTCTGCGGGGCGGCGCCGCCCAGGCGCGGCCGGGTGCGGGCGAGGCTCGGCAACGGGGAGGAGCGAGGAGGAGATCGAGGAGGCTCGGGGAGGAGGCTCGAGGAGGTCCGAGGAGGTTCGAGGATCGAGGGGGGGATCGGAGAGGGTCGAGGAGGGGCTCGGGGAGGCTCGAGGAGGACCGAGGGGGAGAGCGGTGGCTCCTCGCAGTTCCCCGACCGCGGGCGGCCCCATGTGACCTCGGCCGCCCGAGAAAGGACGCCCCTTGCCCGGCGGCGGCCGGGCGCCGGCGTGCCGCGGGAGCGCGCGAGCGGCTACAGTCCTGAGCATTGCACCGTGAAACACACCAGGATCGACTACAGGGAATAGAGATCTGGATTCTCGAAACGAGTGATCTGAAGGGACCCTGGGACACATATTTTCTGGGTTTCTGTCTTCCCCCCCACTTCCCATATTTTCCCGTATTTTCTGGGGAATCGAGGATTCATTGTGTCTGTGTGTTTTTTCCTCTCCTGAACCATGATCGACTGCAGGGAATAGAGATCTGGATTCTCAAGACGAGTGATCAAACCTCTCACAATCTCCCAAAAACAAGCCCCCAAAGTTGCCACATCGTCCGCCCGGGCCTCGAGGCGCGCCCAGATGATGTCCCGGAGCGGGAGGGCCACCTGCAGGTTCCGCAGGTCCCGCTCCTGGGAGAGAGGAGGGCTCGGAGGCTCGGGGGGGAGGAGGAGGAGCACGGGAGGCGGAGAGTCTAGGGAGGCGGCTCGAGGATCGGGGAAGCCCGAGGACCGGGGAGGAGGAGGAGGAGGAGGAGGAGGAGGAGGAGGAGGAGGAGAGGAGGAGGAGGAGGAGGATAGGTGGTGGAGGATCGAGGAGGATCGAGGAGGATCGAGGAGGATAGGTGGTGGAGGATCGAGGAGGCGGCTCGAAGACCGAGGAGGCTCGAGGATCGAGAAAGGAGAGGGCTCGAGGATCGAGGGTGGATGATCGAGAGGAGGCGGAGCCGCACGTCCCTCTCCACATAGGGGGGGAGGGGAGGAGGTTCGAGGATCGAGGATCGAGGAGCGACACTGGCCGGCAAGAGAAGGGCGGCCGAGAGAAGGAGACGCGAACGAGAACACGTCCGAGGGGTGAGAGAAGTGCCCTGCTCCTCAAGAAAGCTGCGATATCCGAGCTCCTCAGGGCACGTTAACCACGACCTGAAGCAAAAAAGTTAGGAGCACGACGCAAAAAGAGGAGACGGGAGGCACGACACCAGAGCCGGCAGGACCAGGGGCGGAGGCACCACCCGCCCACCCGCCCGCCCACCCGCCCGCCCACCCGCCCAATTTCTATCTCTCCGTCCCTCCCTCCCCCTTCCTCCACAAAGAGAGGGGAGAGGGAGGGGTGGGGGGGAGAGCAGAGAACGGGGAAAAAGAGAAAACCCACACATCCGGCGTCTCGAACACCCGAGGCACAGGCCCCCAACCTCTCGACCCCCTTCCCCGGACCGGATTTCATCCCGAGTCGTTCCTTGACGGTCCCGAGGCCCGGTAAGCGCCCCGAGAGGCCGAAAACTGTGAAAAGCCGTTGCCTCGATGTTACGAGACGCTGGATGTGGACAGGAGAGCCAAGAATCGAATCGACAAGTCGCATCGGCGATCGACATGAATCGGAAAAGCGGATATCGGCAGCCGAGTCGGGAAACGTCGAATCGGCAGACATCGGCAGGCTAGTAGGCCTCCAATGAAACATCGGATCCCAAATCGGAATCCGAAATCGCATCGAATCGGAATCGGAATCCATCGAAATCGAATCGAATCGAATCGGCGGCATCGAAATGAGCCCTGGGGAATGGGGGTGGGCAACTGGTGTGTCCTTCTGCTCGTGCCACCTGATCCGCCGCATCCTGTACTGCATCCGGATCTCGTTCAGGGGCCCGTCCTGGCTGGCAGCCGTGGTGCGACTGCCAGGGACGGCAAGGGAGAACGCAGCGTCGGAGAGCAGCGGAGGAGGAAAAGGGGGAGGAACAGAGGAGGAGGAGGGGGATGAGGAGGAGGAGGAGGAGGAGGAGGAGGAGGAGGAGGAGGAGGAGGAGGGAGGAGGAGAGGAGGAGAAGGGGGAGGAGGAGGAGGAGGAGGAGGTGGAGGAGGAGGGAGGAGGAGGAGGAGGACGCGGCAAAGCGGCGCTGGCGCGGTGGCGGCGGCGGGCCGGCGGACGTGGCGTGCACCCCAGGGGCCCCGCGGCGTTCTTCGGGGCGTTGGGCCCCCCAGGGCGGAGAGGAGGAGGAGGAGGAGGAGGAGGAGGAGGAAACCTCCGGTGGATTTCCGCGTTGCCTCTCCTTCCCACCCAGCCCCTTCGTCGTCGGAGCGACGGCGGCGGCGGCGGCGACGACGGGGGGGCAGCTCAGAGTCCTCTGGAAGCTTCTCGGAACCTCTGGAGCCTTCTCAGAGGCCTCTGGAGGCCTCTCAGAAGTCTCTGGAAGCCCTCTGAGGCGTGTGAAGGCGGGCTGCATGGTTATAAAGTGGCCCAGTGTGTTACAAAGAGGCCGTTCTGGTTGCAAAGCAGCCCTCAAAACGCTGTTCTGATTGGAAAGTAGCCCTTCCGACAAAACAAAACAAAAAATGTCAAACGTTTTCTGGTTGGAGAGTTCCCCTTCTGGTTGCACAGAACTGCTCTGGTTGTAAAGAAACCAAACAGTCGGGGTACGTAGGGAGCCGGGGGCGCGGGAGGAGGATGTAGGGGAGGGGAGGAGCACGTAGAGAGGCGGGGGCAGCGGGCGATTGGATGGGGTGCGGTGGGGAACGTCTGGCGGCCGAAGCGCAGAAAGGCAGCCTCTCAGATGGACTGCACCTCGCCGGGCGTGCGCCGTGCAGCCTCGAGCTGACCTGGGTGATCTTCCGGGTCGGACTGCGAGGAGGCCTGGGCGTAGCACCGTGCCGGTTTCGCGCCAGCGTGGGGGCAAGCCAAGCACCACCTGGGAGGGAGCACGGACGACCCCGATGGGGTGCTTGCAATCGTGGAGGTTGAGATGCCGAGCAGATCCCACGGTACGATCCGGAGATCATTCGCCTGTGCGGCTTACCTGGCTTGCCAATATCCGAGATCCTCGCCTCTTTCTGCTTGTGAATGAGGTGGACGTGCTCAGCGCGCTCAGATGCCGGAATTGTATCAGGGGCCTGGCGCACGATTCATCCAGTGGAGCTGCATACCGACTTCGAGAAGCTCGTTCCCGAGTTTGAGGTTTTCGACTCTTCATGGTGCCTAAGCGGTTCTGCTCTGGAGATCTGCGCACACGATCACGATCGATTCGTTGGTCAGGGAAGTATGAATTGCCAAGCTGTGACTCAGATTCGCGGCCTTTCGAAACTAGCTGTTTCATTGACAAGAAGTGTTTGCCACAATCTACCAACTTGGAGAGGGGGGTCGATTCCTGCGCCGAGGTCGTGCCGGCATTCTTAGAACTGCGTGGTTTTAAAGACACGCTTGGCGCCTGATCAAACTCGTCGTGTATTGCACGCCGCCGGGCAGGAAGGCGAAGATTGCCAAACGATCCCTGGATGCATGTGTGGCGTTCTGGCTCAGGGTCCGTCCTCGAGAGACGGCGTGGCGCGCGCAGCGGAGGGGAGCGCATGGTTCTCACCCACGTCCCCGCCCTGTGCGCTGCCAGAAAGGCTGAGCGTCAAGTGAAGTAGGGGAGCAGGGAGGAAAAGGGCGGGAGGGGAGGGGCCGAAAGGGAGGGAGGTGAGGGGAGGGGGCACGGGGAAGGGAGGGGAAGAGAGACCTATGAAGGACTATGCAGGAAAGGCGGGTCCAAGCTCTACGAGCACAGTGGCGCTTTTTTGGAGCAGGGACCGACCGTCCAGGCATTCCTATAGGCCTACCACGAAATGTTCTTAGAAGCCAAAACGTGATAAGAACGAAACAAGATTCTTAGAACAGAAGCCCGATGTGCTACAACAAGACAATATTGGCCAGAATTGTTCTAAGAACATTTCGCGCTAATCATAAAGGGTTCTCAGCACAACCTTTGGTGGGCCTAGAGGCACGCGGGGACGCTTCGCCACTGCTTGACTTTGGGCGGCGAGGGGCACCTGAGCGAGAGGATAACCGAATGGGGAGCGTCAGCAGTTCGGCTGACGTCCGAAAATGGCAGGGAGGTGCGAGGGGGGCGATGGGAACACGGCAGCGGTCATCAGTGGCACAGCCGACGCGCGGGCGGCGGGAGGGGGATAATGCCTGTCCACCCCAGGCCTTAGGCGGCTCCACTTTCTCCAACCTCTTTTTAGTCGCGGCGACTTGGAACCAAACTAGAGGCCTCCTAGATGGGGTCGGAGTAGATGGGGTCGAAGGATCACGCCGCATCGCCGCTGCATCGCCGATATATCGGCAATGCATCGGCGATGCATCGGGGGCGTCGGCGATGCATCGCCGACGTCGGCGTGGGAAATCACGGGCTCCACATCGAGCCGCATCGCCGATGCATGGGAAATGCGGCGCGATCCACCGACCCCATCTACTCGAACTCCATCTGGGAGGGCTAGAAATACGCGGTCGTGGTAGCGGAGGGACGCTCTGGGGTCAAATTGGGCACAGCAAGAACATGCTCAGAGCATGAGCTTGCTCCGTCAGAGAAACCAACAGGTACCGATACCGCTACTGCTCAGGCCTAACTTGGGGTGCGTTCGGACCAGAGGTTCGAGGCGAATCCAGCGGTGGCGACGAGGGCCTCCCAGGAAGCCCCAAAAATCGGGGGCGCGCAAACATGGATCGGGGGAGGTGCCCTCCACAAAATGCGGCTGGTGCCGCCTCATTCGGCGGCGGGAATCCGCGATTTCCAATGGAAACGGGACCCCTCGCTAATCCACGCCCCCTTAATCTTTGTTTGCGCCTGAAATAAAGGGAAAGCGAGGCCAGGGCAGCGGCATCGACACACTACCCTCCCCCGATTCTCCACACGACGAGCCCCAGACATCGACTCCTTGCCCAGAGAGACGGGCTGCTCATGCAAGGCCGCTCCTCGACGGCCCCACGGGTCCCGAGGCCAGCCCCTCCCGAGGCCCCAGGAGGCCAAGAAATCTGCCGCCTCGACCGCCTCGAGCAGCCCGGCGTCCGTGCTCCCACTGTGTCGGGGGCTTCTAAAGATGCCCGTGCCCCTCGGTGCCCCCGTCGTGTCGCTCCATTTGGAAGCCCCTGGGGCCTCCTGGGCCTCGTGAGGGGTGCTCTCGAGGCCGTGGGGGCCGCCTCGGAATCCTGGGGGCACCTTGGGCTAAAGGCATTCCTGGCAACATCCGACTGTTAGGCAAGTATCCCCCAAGCAGCAAATTTGAACAAGATCAGCGCAAAGGCTGGAAGCAGGCCCCAACGACATGCCCTGATCAGTAGCTCTGATCAGTAGCTCAGAGGAAGGAGAGCAACGGATGTGTGCGTGCAGTGTGACGAGCGATGGAGAAGAGCCGACGAACCAAGGATCGCGGGCCGCAAGTCGAAGGCCTGCTAGGACGCATCGGACACAGGGGATCAGACCGCTCAAGCAAGTCCAGGGAGCGCATGGGATTCCCAGAGGGCCTGTGGCCTGTGTGGTTGAGAACACCAGAGCTTTTGCAAACGCTCGAAACTGCACAGCACCCTCGCGGGGCCCTTGTGATTCGCGGGCACTCGCGGAAGAGCGACAGGATGCCCGTGGCACGCGCACAATCCTCAGAAGCAAACCTGCCGCCGAGCGTACTCTGTCGACATCCTTCGTCGGATCCTGGGGATGGGCGTTGGGTGGGCAAGGGGGGGAGACTCGACCGCCGAACCCCCGGGACCTGGCTGGCAGAACGGAGGCAGTGGGACAAGCGGCCACTGGCCATAGGTGTGTTACTAGAGATGGGGGGCCCATCAATGAGGTCGAATCCATGCGTGATGAGTAAAACCACTTATGGCGAACAAGCAAAGCGAGATCTCCTCGAGAGTCTTGTCCCCGACGTGGCTGAGGGCGACTTCCCGCAGATCCGCGGATCCAGACCTGGAGCGGGGGGGGCATGACGCATCAAGATGCGGGCGATACTGGAGTGCGACATACAACCGGAGCGTTGACCCAAGGAACCCTAAATAAGGAACGAGGCCCCATTTTTCCACAAATTAAACTTCGATGTCCCATCGAAAACCAAAGGAAAACCCAAGGCAAACTGTGAAGCAATCAAGGAACACGGAGTCCCTCCCCAACGAAAAGGGTTCCTTCTTCAGGGCCCCGACTGTATCTTGATGGCCCCACACGCCGTTCACGCTGCTAGCCCAGTGTAGGACGCGCGTCTTCAGAGGCCAACATACATCACGCAGAATCCAGGATTCTGGCCGATGAAGGTAGCTTCAACCGTGGCACCGTGTCACACGCTATGCCTTCTGAACTGCTGGGATCCCAAGCGCCTTCGGATAGCTTACTACTGCAGGTGGCGTTTCAAAGTTCAGTTCGCATGCCAGAGCACTGCCGATTCAAAACCTCGGGCACTTGGCATTGTTGCGTTAACCCTCTGGGCAAATGCTCCCGTACAAAATGACGGGTGAAAGGACAGCAAGACTAAGATGATACGCCGTACCTGGCTAATTACCCCTGCCGTGATACGGCTGCACGCATGCTGGCTCACATCCGGCACGGAAGGAACCCGGCATGCGTGCACTCATCTGCGTGCATGCCACCAGGGATCGGCGGAGACGGTGATCCTGGAGAAACCTCGGGTCAAAAAACTGACCGCCTCGATGCTGTCGTGGCGCCAAAGGCCTGGCGCCTCTTCCTTCTCGAGGGGGCCGCCGGCACTCTTGCTGGGCTGCCGCCCCACCCCTGAAGTTGCCAAGGGTCATGCTCCCCTGAGTCTTGAGAGGCCCCCCGAGGAGGAAAATGAAGGGCAGCAGGGGAAGCGGGACGGAATCGACGAGGAGGAAAAGGAGCAGAACAAAGAGGAGAACGAGAGGGGAGGGCGATGGTCGAGACGGGAAAAGGAGGAGGGGGAGGAGGGAAAGGAGGAAGGACGGGGGGGAACGGAGAGGAAAACAGACAGGACGGAGGAGGAGGAGGAGGAGGAGGAGAAGGGGGAACAGGAGGAGGAGGAGGAAGAAGAATAAGGGAAACGGAGACTAGAAAAAGGGGAATAAGGATTAATGTAAAAAGCGAGATGTTTTCGAACAGCGGAGTTGACGCAACAGCAGATGAAGAGCGGGCGCGCTCGGCTGCAGCCTAAACGGCTGAGGGTGGCGCAGGCACCGCAGGAGTGAGAAGAGGCAGGATGGGCACCGTTCGAATCGGAAGAGGAGGAGGAAGCGGAGAGGACGAGAAGCAGGAGGAGGAGGAGGAAGAGGGGAAGAGGAGAAGGGGGAGGAAGAGAAGAAGACGGGAAAGAGGACGAGGAGCAGGAGACGGAGGAGAAAGAGAAGGAGGGGAACAAGAGGAGAAAGAGGAGGAGGGGAAGAAACAAAAAGAGGAGGAGGACGAGGAGGGGGGGAAGAAAAGGAGGAGGGGAGGAGGGGAAGAAGAAGAAGAAGAAGAAGAGGACGAGGAGAAGGAGGAGGAGGAGGAGCAGGAGGAGGAGGAGAAGATAAACAGGAGGGAAAAGAGGACAACGAGGAGGGAGATGAGGAGGACGACGTGGAGGAGGAGGTGGAGGAGGAGGAGGAGTCTCTGGAATCTATGCCTGATCGCGTAGCGATATACTCTGCTCAGGACCGCACGGCGCGGCGCCACCTTCCACTCAGAAGGCCTTCGACAGCAGGGAGTGGTTCAACGCGCCGGCGCTGAGGAAATGGCTGCACCGAGAGCTGAGAGAAGGTCTCCAACCTCACTGCCGCCGTCCTGCTTCGTCGGTGTGTTGCCCTGTGTCGACTCACATGTCCATTCGTAACGTTGAGTACAGCCGACTCCAACCTGTCTGTAGATCCGTCTCGCAGGAGTGCCTCGTGAAGCGGCCGCAAGGTGTGCAACACGTCGCACGAAAGGCTGGGATTTCCATCTCATGGCTCGTGTAATGAATGTAGATTCAAATCCCTTCTGTTCTGCAGCTCGCTCGCGGAGGAACGCTTCCACGTCTGACTCGGTCATGTTCCCAATTATGTAGCTGACGACGCCGGGCTCGACCTTCGCACCAAGCGTCCGCTCCCCGTCGTTGTAGCTGATGGCATTGGGCTGGTGCTTCGTCTCCGCCACTGCCACCATCCAAGACTTCTCGCATGCACCGTCCTCGCGTCTGTAGCTGATGACGTCGGGCTCGACCTTCCCGTCACGCGACACAGCCTCGTCGTTGTAGCTGATGGCATTGGACTCGTGCTTCGTCTCCGCCACTGCCGCCATCCAAGTCTTCTCGCATGCACCGTCGTTGTAGCTGATGGCATTGGGCTGGTGCTTCGTCTCCGCCACTGCCACCATCCAAGATTTCTCGCATGCATTGTCCTCGGGTCTGTAGCTGATGACGTAGGGCTCAACCTTCCCGTCACGCGACACAGCCTCGTCGTTGTAGCTGATGGCATTGGGCTCGTGCTTAGTCTCCGCCACTGCCACCATCCCAGACTTCACGCATGTGTCGTCCACGGGTCTGTAGCTGATGACGTCGGAGTCGACCTTCGCGTCAGAGGAGGAGGAGGAGGAGGAGGAGGAGGAGAGGAGGAGGGGAAGAGGAGGGGAAGGGGGTGCGAATATGAAAGCTCAGCGTGCGCTTACAGCTTGTGCCAGCTTAGCCAGAACCCGAACCCCTTTCAATAACCATCTTGGTTCAGGGAAGAGGGCCTGCTACCCCCTTTCCAGGAGTGCAGCATGTTGTACTGAAAAAGGTGTTTGTGACCTTTCTCTCTCATCATATAGTATGCAGCCTCAAGTGTCATGGAGTCCTCAGGCGTCCAGGAGGACACCCACATGTGGCAAGCGGAGCGACGGCGACGACTACGGTCTCGAGGTCCGCACGTGGGAGACGGTGGATGACGACGAATACCCAGGGCCATCGAGACCATCGCACGAGAACCAGAGAGAGAAAAGAGACGACCAGCGTCACACTTCGGCAGCAGGCTCATGCGACCCCTGGGCACGATGGAACCAGCAGCAGACGGCAGCATGGGACCGAACATGGAGTGGGCAGTACTCAAACTGTGGCGTCTAGGATTGGCCAGGCGGAGAATACGAAGGCTCAGGCGTCTCCGTGGAGAAACGAACCATGCTCGATAGATGGTCAGAAGCTGGATCAGATCGATCAGTACAGTAACGAACTCCTGAGCAGGTCAAGAAGAACGTCGACGAGTTCTTTGAGAGACACGCGGCGGGAGACGACCTCGACCCACACAACCAGCGACGTCGAGGTAGAGAAGGAAGGGATCCCCCATGCCCCGCCTGGGATGGCAAGGACCTTAGTGAGTGACCCGAGAAGCGTTTGGCAATAGACAGATGGACCAGGCTCACGGCAGTACCACCCGAGGAGCAGGGAGGGACCCGACTTCTGCACCTGACGAAGGAGGCGGCGACGGCGACGAGGCACCTTCGGCCAGGAGCAGTTCAGTACCCCTGCGGACTACAGGCAGCCAGTCTGGCATTGGACACACTGGCGTTTCAATAGGCAGATGTGGAGACCTCCCAGCAGTTCGAGAAGACCCTCTTCTCCGCACCTCGCGCCAAGGACGAGACACGGATGAAGTTCACCAACAGGATACGGGCAGAACAGAAGGAG